GTTACATAATTTTATGCCGGCTATAAAAAGAAATAAAGAAAAACCTTATAATTAATCGTAAAACTGAAATCTGTCCAGTATAACAGTGTGTATAATTTATATATAAAAATAATGAAGGCAAGTTTCCAAAGTGATACAAAACAAACAACAAAAAAAAAAGGAATAAAATAAAAATCTTGCGATGCTTGATCGGATTCGAAGACTGATTAACGCATTTAATTATCTTTATTAGATATCTATTATTAGACACTAAAACATTCTTAGCGTAAAGTTACTCCCACTTATAAATCGTTAAACGGTCCCTATTGTACAACTTCGGTAGAGATTTCTAAGCTGCTAACTAGTCTTTTCAAATTTAACAATAAATGGCTCTCATTACGCGGATATTAAAAATAATCTACCGCCCTCAGAGTAACTTATTTGTTACTAAAGTCCTCAGTGTAGATTTCCCATATTAAATTATCATTCTTTTATAATTAGAATTTTATTTTGTTCCTTACTGTATAACTTTCCATACTGTAAAACATCCCGTATGCTACTTTGACCGTGATGTTTGTTTATGCAATAATATTGAACACAGTTTTCCTCCTCTTCCCATCAGAGTGACATTCATGTAGACAGTGCGTAGGGAAAGGAATGTAGTTTAAAATAACTCTATGGCGCTATGTTGCCATTTTTTAAAAACAAAACTCCCTATTTCCTATTAATAAAAAAGATTTAAACATAGTTTTGCACAATGTATGTGATTTCCAATGTTTGTGAATCGCACGTAGTTCTTTGATTGCTGAAAGTGCCAACTTCATTTTAATATTTAATCCAAAATTAAAGAGGTACAAGTTCTCCAAATTTCGAACTAACTAGATCAATAAAAATACGAATATAAGTACGATAATGCTAATACAAATATAGATTTGCACAGTTTCTGTTTATGAGTTCCTCGAATTTTCGGGAGTTGTTTTAAATATGTCAACACAGTATCGAGTTGCGCGCGCGCACGCCACCCTGTTACGTCAGCAGGAATCCGCTTCGGAAGTGAGTCAGTGGTGAGTCAAGAGGAATGCTCGCAGGCTTCGTTTTTGTTACGTTTTGTTTTGTTTAAAATGCGGTGCGTTTTAGAAGCACC